ACACACACACACACACACACACACACACACACACACACACACGGCACGCTTTCAAAAGTAGCCAGCACATAGTCCGCCCTAAGCCAAGCGTGTTACCTCCAACCTCAGATTTTCCTTCTGTCTAAGAGTGTCTTTGCAGATAACTTAAAATCACCCATCTGCATACCCACTCACCCTCCAGAAAGCAAACGCAGAGAGGTCACTCTGCAAAATATAATCGAGAACACCACGGTTGTGACTGCTGTGGACTTGGCGGGCTGAGCAGCCTTCCCCGAGAAACCGTAGTTGCTAGTAGAAGCAAGACTGAGCTCTGGGCTTGTTTTCAGCTTATTTAATTCACACTGAAGTGTTTCTGCGCAGGGACGAACTCGGTGTCACCGGGTCCCTCCCGGAGGGTTACATCCTGCCCCCAACAGGGTAATGAGGCAAGAAACTAGGAGGGCGACCAGATTTCAAAATTTTCTTTCTTTTTTTCTTTTCCCTTCCCTCCTTCTCCCCTCTCCTTCTCACTTGTATTTAGATTCGCGCAGAAAAACCTCTATTTTCTTCTAATCCAGAACTGGATAACTTGGTAAGAGCGGACCCCTATTCCCCTCCCCCCTCGGCCCCCCACCTCCCACCTCCAGCTCCCTCAGCTTTGCTTTGAGAGCCCTGAGATTTCTAGACCGGCCTTCTTGTGCCTGCAGGTTGGCTGCAAATGTTTCTGTCCACGGACAAATGGTCCGGGACAAGATCCCGGGGAAATAAATTCATCTCGAGAGGGGCTGGGCGAGCCGGCGCGGGGAAACGCGAGCTTTTGTTTTTTATGACAGCCGGGCTGCGCAGCTCTAATCAGCGCGGGGATTTATCTCCCGGCCTGTCAGCGTGTGTGCTAAAACTTTGCGGACTTCCCAGCCCTTGAAGTCCCATCACGAGGGCAGCCACCGGACAAGAGCCCCCAAGTAACCAGTTTGCCTGAAAGGTGTAAGGAAGGCAGCAGAAACTTTGCAATGGGATAAGCCACCATTTGAGGGCCATTTGGAATATTTTTTTATCCATTTCTTCCAAAGAAACGTCTAGTCCACTATTGTGGCCCTTATCGGGTAGAGTGGGGCCAGTGGGACTGAGAAAGGAGAGAGCTATGGGGGAAGAGAGTGTTTATGATCCCCACTTAGATACTTTGTTGTTGTTTTAGCTATTTTTTTCTCCTTAAGAAATATAAACCTCTAGATGGTACCCAGTTGCTGCTATTAAGTTTTAGTGTTATTGCCATAAATCAAAATAACTCTATTTACTGGTGGGAGGGGTGGGCTGGAGATAGTAGAGCTGTGACAGCCAGTTTTCTGCAAGCCAGGAACGGGGTGCTCATTGTTTTTGTATCTTTGCAGATGATTCAAGCCATACAAGTATTAAGGTTTCATCTGTTGGAATTAGAGAAGGTAATTTCTCTAGCCTCTTTTCCTTTTCCTTACTTACCCCTTACCCCTAAATACACAGGGGGGAAGGTTTGGGATGGCTGAAGTTCAGGCTTCTGAGACATTTGCATAAATGTATTTCTTTCTAGTAATTAGTGTCAAGGCCAATCTTATCGTCCATTTCTCTTCGCAGTTTAATTACAATTTCAGCCACTAAAACTGGGATCACAAACGCCCTAGCCTTGTATTCATGCTTAATAACTTGCTGGCTTTGTGTAAATAGTTGCAATTCTGTACATTCCAGCTGATGTTTAGAATGCCGCTGTGAGGTTGCTTCACAGGTTAATACCTCTGTGGTATTATCCTCTTCCTCCTCTTCTTTGCTGCCTCTGAGGAAGAAAAAAGTTTTGTTCAGTTGTAGTGAGTTTCTGGAAGACAGTCGTGAGTGCAGCAGCAGATCAGACAGACACATGGGAGAGGCAGAAGGGGAGGAGGAGGAGGAGCGGGAAGGAGTCTGGAGGAGGGTGGTGGGGAGGCACATTAAACATTTTGCAGAGACAAAGCAGAGTTGATAGTTGTGTCAATTTCTTGAATCTGTGAATCCTGCACACATCCCACCTGCACACTCAAGAAAGGGTGTGGGATAACATGATTTTGCTAGCTGTTCTATAAATCTCAGCAATAAAAACTTAATGCATTGTAATTCAAACTAACATTAAATTGCAAGCACACTGGGGTTTCTTGTGAATTTTTGCATGTCAGTGATGCGTGGGCCCTGTAGGAAACCTGGGCACCTACACCTAAATGTTTTGAGGCATTCATTCTTCTTTTTGTAATAATAATAATAATAATAATTTGATATGGTTTGTGGCTGTATGTTTTCTCATATCATGAGTGCTGGCAACTTGGTTTCCTTCTATTTTTTTTAAGAAACTATTCTAAAATATGATCTTTAGAGATAAAAACCTTAATTACAAATATAATAAGGACTTGGGTTGTCAGACACATAACCTATACCACCACAGTACAGGTCCTTTGGAGAATATACATGTGCATGTCTGTATATATATACAGACATATGCATTTTTTCTTTAGACACATTGGAAAGGGATTTATGATAAAGCCACTGGATGAAATTAAATAGTTTACCTTAAATGTCACCTACACAGGTCACCTCTCTAATGACCACAGCCCCAGGAGCAGATGAATTTAACACGGGTGTTGAATATGTTGTAGCCTGTGAATCATCTTGTCACTGTCAATTTTCTGGGATATCTCTATTTTGCAAGAAAAGAAAGTTATTCCTAATTCTGGATGCGTCTGGGGGTCTCTGGAGGACAATTGCCCTGTGTTTCCCCTATTTGGAAGTTTGGATCTCACAAGGGGGGTGGATTGCACTTGTCAATGTCATTTATGCACTCCTGATTATATTCCCATTTTTTTATTTCTGTCATAATGTAGGTACACGAATTATGTGACAATTTCTGCCACCGGTATATTAGCTGTTTGAAAGGGAAAATGCCTATCGATTTGGTGATAGACGATAGAGAAGGAGGATCAAAATCAGACAGTGAAGATATAACAAGATCAGCAAATCTAACCGACCAGGTATGCGCTTTTCAATTTCAACATCCCTGGGAAAAAAAAAAATCTGTATGCATATTGCTTGCTGGGTCACCACCACCTCCTTTTATTATTTGCATGTGATTAAGTCCCTTTTAGATACATTTCCATCGAAATGAAAATTTTTGAATAATGTGGCTATTATTGCTTCATTAAGGCTGGCTCTGGGATTCGACCTGGAGAGATGAGCTTGTAAAAGCTTTGCTAGCAAACTTGACCTGTTTCTTGTCGCTTTTAATTTTTGTCTTTATTTTATTTACCCTCTATAATAATGGGAGTGTTAACTGCCAGTGACCGCCTCTGATTGTAGGGGCTTTGTTCCGGAGCATTTTCCCCCCTTCTATCTTCAAGAAAAGAAAAGTGTAGGGTCTGCTTATTTCTTATTTTATTAGGAATAAATCCAAGATAGGTGGTCTAAGGGAGACAGCGAGGATTTGAAATCTAGCAAATGCTGGCTATTTTCTCCCTGTCTATACGGTTCATTAGCCTGTCTTGTCAGTTTTCCTCGGCCGAACGCTTCTAGACCTCACTGAACATTGCTTTGTGTGGTGTTCACTGCAAGCTCACCCATTTTATTGTACTTAATAGAAAAAATAAGACCAGGCCGAGGTTATAAAAACAGATAAATATGGACTTTTCTCCTCCTTCTTTCCACTCATCCTCCAGCTGGTATGTGCTCTGGGCCCTCTGGGTTGGCAGCTTGTGGACATGTCAGCATCAGGGGCACCCGACGGCTCCCTGGGTGAGGAGGGTGGGGGACCTCGCACCTCCTTTGCTCTCCACTGAAGTCCTTGGCTTGCTTCGCCCCCTCCTCTCCTGTCCTCCCTCCAGGCCCTTCTTCCGATGCATTTCTAAGTGGGGACGACTTTTATTTGGAGTTGCTGTGGGGATTTCTCTCTCTGTCACCCCAACACCACCGTTTGCTCCCAGTGTGCCTCTCTCTCTCTCTCCTGTGGCTGTATTTCTGGATTGGTCCAAAGGAGTTGCAAAAATGCAATGAAAGTGAAAACGTGTGGAGTGAGTGAGACGAAGCAGGGCTCAGGACAGTTCTGTTGCGAATTGGTGCAAGGCGTCTTAGAGATTTGGGTAGCCGGCCTGCTCCGCACCCTCCATCCTTCCCTCATATATAAGTGAAGGCCCAGAGTTGTGTCTCTTTCTGACTTGGCACGTGAGTCCAGACTTGGGGGAAGAGATCAGCCTGCCTTTGTTAAGCCAAAGACCAGCTGCTCTGCAAGCTCTGCCATGATCTCTGTTGGCCAGGGGCTGTCTTGTACAGTCCTTGCCGGAGTGCCTGACACCTGGTTCTTGGTGTCATCTTATGGTTTTCTTCTCAACATCATCCTCTTAAAATATATTCTCAGTTTGACTTTCTCTGGGCAACCCCAGCGACACAGGCTGAATTCCTCTTTTGCCCATGGGGAGCAAGGAACAGGCAGAACAGAGATTTAAAAGTGCCACTGCGCCGGGTCTATACTGTGATCTGGAGAGTTGGAAATTTCGGCAGTGTAGACGAGTGCACAGAACACGCAGCGTGCGCAATCCCGGTGCGGCCCGGCAGAGGTGGGAAAACTGCAGGCGGCTCTCAGTCCTGGCTCCCGCGGGCTGCCTGGCCTCATGTCTGGTTCAGCCCGCCAGCCCTCGCCTAGGAGCTGTTGAGTGCAGATTCTGCTGAGGAACCCTCGAGTAGCTGCTGTGGAATAAAAATTGCAATCCAACAAGCCTAACTAGAAAATGGGATTCTAAAAGCTCCGGAGTGCTGGGTACATAAAGCTATTTGAGCAAATTACAAGAATCGCTTAGGGGCATGAATGAAATCAACACTTTAATTGCCTCCAAAATGAAGATTTATACCCCATTTTCTCAAGGAATCATTATTTTATTGAAGTCAAAGATAAAAGACCAAAGTTATGGGAATTTTTTGGATGAAGGAGAGGGGATACAAAAAGTAATGTAATGTCATAGAGTTACCTCCTTCTCGTTCCCTAAACTTTTGTTATCCAATTCCCTTAAGATATGCAAAGATTGGCATGCAATTGTATTGGGTAAAACTTCGCATTTTATTCTCTTCTACCTCTAAGATGAGAATCCTACTTCTGATCCCGCGGGTTAAGAGTGGGCTTCGAAGCTTTGGTTGAGCTTGTGGCGCTGTTGGCCTTTGCGCGTGGGCTCCCTCATGTGACCCCCTGGGGCTCACCCAGGTCTCAGCTGGTCGGAGGACAGCAAACCCAAAGTCGGGTTTGAAGAGGGGAGCGCAAATCGCTGGGCGCCTGCGGTACAGTGCCTCGCACTCCGGTGAGCTCCCCTGCCCTGGGGAGGTGAGGCGCGATGAATGAAGCACCAGGGAGCCTGGTAGGCGCCAGTTCTTCACACTGTAGCCTGCTGGCCTGCCCCTCCTGGCCGCTGAACCCCTAGTGCGGTGTCCTGGGGGCCGGCCGGGAAGGATGGCCTCTCCACCTCTGCGAATGCGGCCCAGCCAGTTTGAACTTCCGCAGAGGGTGCGCTCCGGGACTGGACGCTTCTCGTGCTGTGAGAGCGCTGGGCCTCGTTAGCTCATTAACCCCTCTGTCTCTAGGGCCCGCTGGCTGCACGGTTTATTTTATTTTACTTTTTTTCCTTGGAGGGTGCAAAGACTGCCACCCGCGCGGGGACCTGGGATCGACAAATTTGATGCTAGGCGGTATCCCGGAGGGCTAAGTCGGTGGAAATCCACTTGGCCTTGTAGTATTAGTTTAGTTCTTTCCTTTCCTCTTTCTCTTTCTTTCTTTCCTTCTTTCTTTCTTTCCTTCTTTCTCTCTCTCTTTCTTTCTTTCTCTCTCTCTCTTTCTTTCTTTCTTTCTTTTCCTTTTCCTTCCTTCCTTTTCTTTTTTCTTTCTTCTTCTTCCTTTCTCTCTCCTTTTCTTCTCTATTTATTTATTCATTTATTTAATTTTTAAATCATATTAAGACACCAGTAGAAGCTGTAATCCTGTTCTTCACCACACTTAGGTTCCTTCCCCCACCCCCAGTCTTGGGGGCCGCCTGGAGGTCCCAGCCGGAGAGAGCCACCTTGGCGGGCTCAAGCCTCCTGGGCGCCCTCTCCTGACCGCCGAGCTCTTGCCTCGGCTTGGACATCTCGGATTCCGGGAGGCTGGGGGAAGCGAGGGGCGCCAGTGGATTCCCGGCCTTGGCGTGGGGCGAGTTCCCAGCTGCGACCCGGAGCAGAGGGAAGGGGGGGCATGGTCCTAGGCATTGAGGGGAGGATTGAGCCTGCTTGGCTTAGAAGAACGATGCGTGTTCGACTGGAGGCGGGGCGCGTGTTCTAGGGGTCCTTGGTGGATTTGGGGGCGCCAAAAGAGGTTAGGCGGGGAGAGGCCTGGCCACTCAGTTACTAGACTTTAGGCCGCGCTCCAGGAAGAAGCAGCCGGCTTCCTTCCTAGGCCGCTTCTGTTGCTCGCCACTCCTTGAATCTAAGCATTTTCTACTCCAAGAACGCGTTGAGAGAGAGGGGAGAGCGGAGCAGAGTCTCTAAGCCCCTAGGGCCGCCTCCTGGGGTGGCCACGCCTGCCGGTAGCCAGCCGAGATTAGCTAGGTCTGTGCTCTGGCCTCAGCGGTGGCCCTGGCTCTTCCCACAAGCAGCGGGAGGCAAAGAAATGGTCCCTTTGGATTACAGTTTTTATTCAACAGCAGCTCTCTGGGGGGTCCTCCTCTGAATCTGCATTTAGCCGCTCCTGGGCGAAGGCTGTCGGGTTGCACAGGGCGCCCTGTTGCATGTTAATCCAGATTTGCCTCCGATGTCTGGGGAGAAGTAATATGGCTTTCAGAGATGGAACCAGAGAGCCACGATCTCCAGGCAGGTTAAATGCCAAGTGCTGGCGGGCTCCCAGGGGACGGTCGCCCGGGCTGTGCGGCCCAGACTGGAGAGCGTGGGGCCTCCAGGCCTCTGGGATCTGGGGCAGGCCGGGCCCAGTGCGCTTTGGTTCCCAAGTGGGCCTGGGAACTCTGATGGCGATTGTTTTATTTCAAAAGTTCATAGCGTTGTTTCTGAAGCAGAGTTTGGGTTAAAATTCTTAAAACTGAAGTAGAACTTGACAGAAAACGCCCCCTCCGAAAAAGCGGGGGAGATTCTTGCAAGGGAGATTTAAGCTTTCCCTTTAGGGGAGGTGTCACAGTCAGGGAAAGGGCTGGGAGGGCAAGAAATAACCTCATGTCCTGCATTGATTGGATCTGCTGCTTTAGAAGCAAATAAATGGGGCCAGCGAATGTTTACTAATACTAGAAATGTCCGCAATTCATTGTCATCCAATAAGAAAACTGGACACAAACAGTGGGAGCCAGAAAAAATGCCCCCTTTTTCAGGTAGTTTGTTTTAAAATGCTTCCATTTGGATACATCTTATTTAAATTGTAAATGTTTCGTAGGTTCCCACTCAGTGCCTTAATCTTGAAACCTCTCAGTCCACAGGACTTGGAAGTGATAAAGTCTTAGCATCACCTAACTTTACATTTGATTGCGTTGTGGGTCATGTGATGTAGACTTAATTTCTTTTAAAATATATGTCAAAGAGAAATTATGGCAAGATTCTCTTTAATGATTAAATAATAAGGTGTTGACTGCTTGTCACTACACTGGCTAATTGGGATGTTCATTCTAGGCCCTTTATTATGTAGCACCCTTTGAATTAAAAGTTAGTTGTTTACCGGGTATATTTTTATTGTTACTTTCTGATTGCATTTTAGCGTGTATTTATGTGTGAGTCGCACAGAAAAGATGTCTTGATTCTTAATAGGGGCACTTTTAAAACACTTTAGAAAAAACAAGGGGGAAAAAAGTATAGCATGTATGCAGATAAGTTGAGATCAATTACATTGGTAAATGTCTCTAAGTCTAAATGCTAATAATACAAAAATATCCTTTTCATAGTTTCTCTCTCTCTGTCTCTTTCTCTTTCAATCTCTCTCACAGTGGAAGTCCCCAGTGCAAGTTCCATGAATAATGGAAAGCAATGA